GATACCAAGTACAGTACTCGGTACAAGTACATGTACCGATACTTTTCGAGCTCCAAGACTAGACTAGAGAAAAATTCAAAAGTTAGGAGGCAGCTGTCATTTGTAAGGAGCACACGGAGCTCATGGGATTTGTACATCTCTGTTTTAATGTATGATTTTGTTTTTATAAATATAAATAAAGTGATGCACAGATACCAGTTTTGCGAGTACAAGTACTGGTACTTGCCCAAGTACTTACAAGTACGAGTACTGATACATTATTGTTTATTGTCATGTGACAGTTTTTCTAAAACAATACAGACTAATGATTTCAGGACATTGGTGGAGTACCAGAGCCAGGTCCCAGCTGCAACCCTGGTTGTTCTCATGAAAATGCCAAGTATCGGCATTGGTACTCAAAAAGTATCTGTGCATCCCTAGTACCAGTATAGGAATATTTTTCCTCACCCGCACAGCCGGATTTTTTGGGGAGAGGGAGTGCTAGTAGAAAATAACAATGTAATTTTTTAATGATGTGAGTGTTGAATGTGTTTTTATTATTTTTGGCAACATTTAAATAATCTACTTTGTTGAACTTTTTTTAAGAAAACTGTTTGTGATGCCTTGGTTATCACCATTTCCAGTCTTTGATATTTAAAAGTTCATTTGCAGCATGAACATTTTGAAAACACGTTGGGGGAGATTGCTAAAGGAAAAAAGGCTGTTCAGTTAGTGAACAGAATGTTAAGTAAATCAGATGAATCAGTGTTAATTTCAACCAATCACATGCTAGTAAAAATCCTGTTTTTTTAAATGTCCTCACATGTGATTGGGTATACAAAACAAATACTGGTCCACCTCATTTGTTATCATTCACTTTATGAAATAAACAGCCTCTACTCCTTTAGTAAATCACCTTGATAAAGAACGGCTGCTCTCAGACAAATTTATAAAGCTACCCTTGTTCATTAACCAACATAATACTTATTTATGAATACTAGACAGTGTGATTTCCTGTGTGTGAGCCCTAACATTTAAGTGAGGTTCAGATTTTGAGAAGCTGAAAAGTATGCCTTGTCTGTGAAATGAATAACACTGTCTTGGCATAGCGACTACTAAAAGGTTGAATCAGCAAGTTGTAGGGCAATAGAGATAAAATACACACTGTAAACAGAGTCTGGCCATGTGCATGAAAGGACATGACTCATTATTCATTGAAGGAAAGCCTGACGTGATGCCCATTCATAAGCTACACAGATCACTCGCTAGATGTAACAGGGAAGAGCTGTAACACTGCAACGTTCTTGTAAGAGGTTAATGCCTATAAACTACAGAATCTGCTTACCCCAGCAGAATCCTATTGAAAGGGTCATTCTGCCCAAGACTAAAGTAGGGTATACACAGTTAGAATTTTGTCAAAATTAATTGATTTCAGAACATTCTTTTGATTTTCTGATAGTAGATGGTGTCAATTCGATGATAAATTTCAACCACAGTGACAAAAAAAATTTGAAGGAAAATGTTGGGAAATTTTTCTCGATCACACAAAATTCTAACAGTGAATGTGGTTTTCGTACAGGAAACTCCATTCATTCCAAAATCAAATGTTAAATAAAAATGGAAATCAAACTCACTTTGAACAACATTCATCAAGTGTCTGACGGCATTATTGAAAGTTCTGATGAGGTTTTTTGTACGAACATTTGTCCGAAAATCAACTAGTGTATACCCTACTTAATGTTTTAATTTTTTTGTGAATTTGCAACAGATCTCTGGTAAAGTATGCTATTGCTTTATGATTATAGCCATCAATAGACTACTATTGATGCAGAGGTGCATGGGGGTCTGAACCTATGATAATGCCTATAACAATGCCTGACACACAGGGGGTTATTCACAAAGCTGCCGGAGGCAGCCGAGTGAATAACCCAGCCGAACTGTACATAGACGAGATGACATCACAGCAGATAGTAGTGATGGTGTGGAGTCGTTGTGGCTAGAACTAGAAAAGACCAAATCTAGTGGTAAACTTTTTTTGTGTGTGTGTGTTATAAACCCCCGAATATAGGGGAAGAGGAGGAGACTCAACTACATTATCAAATAGAATTGGCTGGGAAGCAGGGAAATGCTATTAAAATGGATGACTCCAATTACCCGGACATTGATTGGTCACATAGAACCTCTCATTCTATAAAGGTATTTATAGAATGAGACAATTGCATGGACCAAATGGTTGAGGGCCCAACCAGAAAGAATGCTACATTAGTTTTTTTAATCTCTAATAATGTAGACCAAGTTGAGGACATAGAAATTAGGGATACTTTGGGTAATAGTGATCAATGGGTAATTATTTTTAATATTGGGTACAGCAAAGAGAAGTGTGTTGGTCTGACAAGAACGCTAAATTTCAGAAAGGCAAACTTCGATAAGCTGGGTCATCTGGTATATGACAATAAATGGGACAAATGATTTCTAACAATGAACACTGACGAGAAGTGGGATTGTTTGAAGAATACATTACATAACGCTATTACCAAGTGCATACCATTGGGTAACAAACACAAAAGATCTAGAGCTAAGCCTGCGTGGTTAAACAAAATGGTAAAACAACATATCAAAGAAAAGAAGCTGGCATTTATAAAATATAAGATGGAGGGGACTGAATTGGCATTCCAGAGCTACAAGGAATGTAATAAGATATGTAAACATGAAATCCGGGCAGCTAAAATAGATTACGAAAAACATATTGCCACAATTAGTAAAAAGAACCCCCAAAAATTCTTCCAATATATAAACAGCAAAAAGTTAAGAAAAGTGCGGGTAGGCCCAATAAATGATGAAAACGGGAGACTAATCACAATTGACAGGGAAAAGGCTGAGGTATTAAATTAATTTTTCTCCTCTGTATACACTCAAGAAAAAGACGGGTTTAATGGAGATAAGAATGTGAGTTGCTCAGTGCGTAAAACACCGCAGTGGTTGACATTAGTCAGGGTTTAACAGAGACTAGATAAACTTAATGCAAATACATTTTTGGGACCCGATAACCTGCACCCCAGGCTACTTAAAGAGCTTGGCCAGGTTTTAGCCAGACCATTATTCCTCATCTTTAAGGACTCGTTAATGACTGTAAGGGTACCAAGTGACTGGCGTAAAGCTATGGTAGTACCAATATTTTAAAAAGGTTCAAGATGCCAAGCGGGTAATTATAGTCCAGTCAGTCTAACATCAATAGTATGCAAACTGTTTGAGGGACTGATAAAGGACTATTTAGTGGATTTTGTTCATGACAATGGACAGTGATAATCAGCATGGATTTAGGAAGGACCGTTCTTGTTAGACCAACCTATTAACATTCTACGAAGAGGTGAGTAGAGATCTGGATGGAGGGAGGCCGGTGGATGTGGTATATCTGGATTTTGCCAAAGCTTTTGACACAGTACCACATAAACGCTTAGTACACAAGTTAAAATCGATGGGCAAAGATGAAATGGTGTGTAGATGGATAGAGAACTGGCTACAGAGTTTTGATAAATTACTTTTTTTCACATTGGTCTAAGGTTGAGAGTGGCGTGCCCCAGGGTTCTGTGCTAGGCCCAATACTATTTAACCTGTTTTTTAATGATATTGGGGAAGGCGTCGTTAGCCATGTTTCTGTGCTTGCTGGTGATACTAAAATTGGGAGGGTAATAGACACGGACTTAGACATTATATCATTAGAGGAGGACCTGAATAAAATAGGGGAGTGGGCAACTATTTGGCAGATGAGGTTTATTGGTGAGAAAGGTAAAGTAATGCACTTTGTGGTTAAAAACAGGCAAGCGCAATACACACTAATGGGTACTCCACTAGGGAACTCAGAAATGGAAAAAGATTTGGGGGTCATAATTGACCGCAGATTGAATAACTGCATGCAATGCCAGGCTGCAGCAAACAAAGCTAACAAAGTACTGTCATGTATTAAAAAGGGAATGTACTGTAGAGACAAAACAATAATTTTGCCACTTTATAGATCACTGGTTCGACCTCATATGGAGTATGCGGTTCAGTTTTGGTCACCAGTCCGCAGAAAAGATGTCCTGGAGCTGGAGAAGGTCCAAAGAAGAGCAACAAAGCTAATTGAGGGGGCTGGAGGATCAAGAATACGAGACAAGGTTGCTAAATTTAAACGTGTTCACGCTGGAAGTGAGGAGATTAAGAGGGGACATGATTTTGTTGTAGAAAATGTTCAGTGGTGATGGCAACATTGGAATAAACTTTTTTACTGTAAACTCCCTACCAAGGACTAGAGGGCACCACCTAAAATTAGTGGAGAAAAGATTTATCCACAAAGTGTGTAGGGGATTCTTTTCAGTTAGAGCAGTTACATTTTGGAACTCTCTGCCACAAGCAGTGGTATCAGCAAAGAATATTGATTCATTCAAAAATCAATTAAATACCTTCCTAAGAGACCGTAACATACAGGGGTATAGGTACACTTAAATACTAGACCACACATGGACTCTTAAACACACATGCATGCACAAGACACACATGCACGCACAAGAGACACGCACACATATAAAAGTTGAACTTTATGGACTTGTGTCTTTTTTCAACCTCAAATACTACTGTATGTAACTGTGGAGTGAAGTGAGCCGAACAATGTTCAGCTATTCACTTCTGGCTTGTACGGCTGATTTCAGCCATACATCGGCTGCCTTTGGCTGCACTTCGGTCAGCCGAAAATGCTCAGCATGTTCGGCTAAGCCAAAGTGCAGTAGGACTTCGACTCAGCCGATCCAACATCTGGATCGGCTGGGCCAAAGCTTCGGCAGCTCACTCGCTGCCGTTCGCCCCTATTCTCATAGGGTCCGAACGGCAGTGAGTGAATAGTCCCTCCCACAGCTCTGTTCTCTGCACGTGTTATGTACAGCACAGTGATTATGTCACTGCTACATGTAAAGTGTAATGACTGGCTATGTAAAGGCATTTGGTGTACACAAAATAACATGACCCACATAATGGCACATCAAACTTACCATGTTATTTCAGGAGGTGGAAAAGCTCTCACTTTGACTGCAATACGAAAAGACTTCTGTCCCACTACAGATTCTAATACATCTGTCTTTATGGGTCTTACATTAATAAACGGTTCAGCTGAAAGGAAACAAATAAAATAAATTAAGTTAAACTCTCCCCAAAAATTAAACTAAATGTGCACATGTTTGTGTGTGTTAAATTAACCCTCCAGGGGGCAGAAATACAAATTCTGAAATTAGTTAATTTGTATACAGAGGGAACTACTGCAGACCGTATGAAACGGTCATGTGTTGGAGAATGTTATACTGCTTACCATGCACACGAAGCGTAGTGTTCACATATTTGATTAATGGTCCATTCTTTGCAGTACAGATGTATGTTCCCTGGTCGACTGTTTGTACCTCAGAAATATACAGCATGCTATGAATCACGGCGTTGGTGCTGGTAAGGGAGATCCTCTTTACGACAGAAGCAAGTTTTCCATATTTCTGCAATGAAAGCATTAAAGATATTAGCACAGTGGCGTAGTTATTAGCGCTTCTGCCGTGCAGTACTGGGGGTGCCTGGTTCGAATCCTGATCAGGTCACTATCTGCAAAGGAGTTTGCATGTTCTCCCTGTGCTTGTGTGGGTCTCCTCCAGGTACTCCAGTTTCCTCCCACACTCCAAAGACATGCTAGTAGGTTAATTGGTTTCTGTCAAAATTGGCCCCGTATGTATGATGGTGAGATAGGGACCTTAGATTGTAAGCTCCTTGAGGGCAGGGACTAATGTGAATGTGCATGTAAAGCACTGTGTAAATAAATATTAGTGATGCAAATATAGACATCTGGCACATCATATTGAAATGTGTACATTAAAGTGACACTAAACTCATGGGTTCAATCCTAAAAATTATTTTAAATGCCATAACTATTAACAATAATGTATTCTATTTGTGTGTCGCTCGGCTGTAGATCCTCAAATCATCTCTGAATTCGTGCTGACACTATCCCTCCTTCTGGAGGGGGGCTACTTTTGTTCCCCATGGTCCCTGTGTGTGTTGTAAAGTAGCCACTGCTCCAAGCTCCCTCGCATGATGGACTACAATCTCACCTTTAGTATACTAATTTGTATGGAGATTGTAGTCCATCATGGGCGCGAGCTTGGAGCGGTGGCAACTTTACAACAAATACAAGAAAAAGTGAGAAGTAACCTCTCCAAAGGGAATGGCAATCCCTCTCTTATACAGTTCTCACTGGACAAGTCCCATCCTCATTAGAAGATTTCCCCTCACCTTGTTGCAAGGTCAGAAGATGAATCTCCCATCTGTAACAGCCACTAATAGAAACCAATATTTATTCCTTACTTTATCCAAAACTTTAAAAATTGTTGGTTTTAGAAATATTTTAACAGTGTGCATACATTCATATGGTTTAATGTTCTTGTAGACTAAAATGTTCTGCTTTATGTGTTGCTTCTATTGGATTTCTGTAGATGCATTTTCTCAGAGATATTTTGAAGTTAACAGCAGGCAGCCCTTTGTGAGCACATATCAGAAAACAGTGACACACAGCATTTTACTTGTTAGAGCCATGCTTTCTAGAAAACAGTGGATGGATCACAGTTCACTGGTGGGACATCAGATGAGACATCAGATTAACTGAACGAGTTGCATGCACTGCTATGAATGCCTTAATGTCTGCCAAGTACAGATATGCTGAGAGAGAATGTTTTTTTTAGAATTTAATTGTTTTTACTCTGTCACTGGAGGTTTATTAGTCGATGCAAAATTTTAAATCATCAACTCTTCCCAATACTGAAAGAAAAGCAATGGGTGGGTACCCCTAGGATGAACTATCTGCGGGTTCTGAAGCTAGCTCTAGACAGTCAGCACTGGGCAAATGGTCTCCTTCAGCATCTCTGCTCTCTTGTGTGCCTCTGATATTTGATCTAGGTAGTGTGACATCAAGGTCACACGACATCAACGCCACAATACAGTTTGCCTAGGGTGACAGGAAGTACAAATCTGGCCCTGGCTGAGTTACCCATTAATGTTTTAATAGGCAGTTTGGAAAGGTAACTTGTGTTCTAAGTTTAGTGGTCCCTAATAACCACTGAGTGGATAGGTAAGAAAAGGGACCTTACCAGACCAGGGTATGTCCATTGTATTTCAGCTCTAGAATTCAGAGCAGTCGTTGCATTACAGTTGATAGACAGAGACTTGCCACGCAGCAGTTTGATGGAGCTTGGTACGCTAAGTTGAATGCTGTGAATGTCAATGGCTGCAAACAATGACCAACATGTTACTGGTGTAAATGCAGAGGATACCAGCCATCAATGCAACAGTAAAATGGTATTAATTACTCACATTGCCTGATTGTAAAATAGGTCATCACGTGGACGACTCCATTCACCATAGCCTCACAGCTTAAAAGGCCAAAAAACGTGTAGTTTGGTTTTCGGATGATGAAGCCTTTTTTACTATCCCAAACAACAGACCTGGCACCAGGTTTAGACAGCACAGCTCCATAGGTCTATAAATGAACAATAACATTATTTTAAATATATTTTTTGGAAGTTCACCATGTTAAAAGATGTGTGCTACTATAAGCCATGCAGTGAATGTAGTCTGCCTGGCGGAAAGAGACATCTACGATTATTTTGAGACGGGTCAAAGATCAAATCAGTTGTATTGTCTAAGGATACTGTTTAAAAAAAATACAAACAACTAGGCTTTTGTAGTAGCTTGTGAAACAGAATGGTGAACAACTCACAGTTTAAAAATACCCTCAAACACAACAGAACTTCCATCTCGTAAAAACATAGCATCAAAAAAGGTACAAGGTAAATGTCATCCTCCTTCTCTGAACCGCTTACAAAACAAAGTTTAACGAGTCTTGCCGTGTTATGAATGAGACACTTGGGCACCTGCTGTGATTCTCCCTATAAGATAGGAAGTTGTGAAGAGTGACGTGCTTTTTTTTCTTAGTTTCCCATGCAGCTCAGCGGTTCTGCAGACAGGCCCCTCTGAAGATATTCCTGAGACTTCAGAAAACCCTGAAAAGACTGGACTTCCTATACCTATAAATATACACTTCATTAAGCGGGAACTAAAACTGGCCTGTGTCTAATCTTTACAGACATTAGGTTTTCCACGTAAAAAGGTCTTGTTTGCCACCAAAGCAATAACAAGTCCTATTTTTAGACATGTTATGTAGTTATAAATAGAATGAGCTTTTACAGCAAGAAACGTAATGATGTTTTAATTATTTCTACACAGTTGTATCATATGGACCCCATAAAAAGTACTAATTGATCTATAGATGATTAGTACTTTCATGACAGTTGTACGAGTAGCAAAATGTTAATGGAAACACTGACAATGCTCTGTTCTGTAAAATGAATGTAAAACATTGTCATTTCGAAACACAGCCCACCTCTTAGGAGCATGTTTATAAAGAAGTGAATGTGGCTTTCACTGAACATTCACTGGTGGTGATCAATCAATGTAATTTAAAACACATGCATCTGGAAGATTCACCTGTAGGGATTGTTTGGTGATATGCTTTAAAAATAAGCCCCTTAGGATTTTTAATAAAGCTCAACCCAGTTTTAAAATATATGTGAACGTTCTCTTATTACCGGTAATTTCAGAACAGATCTGAATTCTAATCCACCTCATATGCCATCCACAATATTCAGGTTCAACATACCATGGCTTATGTTTGCAATTAATACTAATAGGGAGAGAACAATATATAGTTAGTTAACAAGATAGGAACTGAAAATACAGTCAAGGACCTAAAAGAAGGGGACAATTTGTTTAACAGATGGAAATTCTGTCTAGGATCATTCCTGGCTGGTTCTGCAAAACTAAGTAAGCCATATGTTAATGTGTATATGATTTTATTATCACATTTTTATCAATACTATTTTAAATGTATGAACAACTACTGTATAGTATTTTATTATATGACAATTTTATAAGTCATACATTTTTATCACATTTTGTATATGCTACTAGTTTGGCCACCAGATTTCTTGTGCCTTTTATTATAATTGTTTCATGTTTATTGTTATCTTTTTTAATCCATTACCATTTTATGAAATCCTTTATTATATAAATTATTATTGTTGCTTTTATCAATAATGTGTCACTATTATTACTAATACTGTTTATAAGAACATTGTTATTCATTTTACTGTTATTAAAACTATTATGAATATGATTGCTAGCAACCTATCATGATCCCATTTTTTTTATCACTCTTATTCTAATCATTGATAGTATTAGCACTTGAACTTTTATTTTATGATGTACAAACTGTTTGAATCATGTGTTACAAGAATTTATTTATAAGAACATGTCATTATTTTATCCTTTGTGTTGCATTAGCCTTGATGAAAAGGGTGAAAATACAGCCATTGAAACATATTGGCTTATCAAACAATGTATTATTGGAATAAACTTGTTTTTGGGCTGGAATATTACAGTGTGTGGCTTTAATTCTAAATTGATTCATAATTAGTCTTCATATACTGTGAAACTGCAAATAAAGTGTGTTTTTAAGGAAAAATGCCTTTTACTTGTAATCGGTCTGTGATTAAACTTTGATGCATCTGAGATGCATTCACACCAAGTTGTATGAACTATTATAATCGTAATCATCACATAAGATTTTTGCTGGAAAAATGGTTTTGAAGTTTCCCGCCTACATGTTTCCCGCTTGCCCGCTAATGTGTTTGAGCCACACTTAGTCCTAATCATACCAATACAAAGTTTAAAAATTAAGCATTCTATACAATTTGCGAGAAGAACATTTACCTCATGCTTCCGTGGAAGTTTTAGAACATTGTATCATTATGAGTAAGAAGTATGGCTGAAATCTATAAGTAGCGATATTTTTATATATCTTCACATTTCCAAAAAACACGTTTTTTTTTCATCAAACAAAAAGGAACATAATGTGCTAACTGTGACATTTACTGGATGCATCTGGATTGTGCAATCAAGATTTTGATTATCTGACCCAGTGGATATTTTGGGTGATCTGTTATGACCTGCAATTTGACTTTTAGAAAAAAAAAAAAGTTCCACAGATGCATATCAGAAGCAAAACACTAACATATGTTTATGTTATGTTTTTGGTAATATTAGTAGGAAATTTATTTTTACAAAATACAATTTATCTTTAAAAAATATCAATTCAGCTTTTTCATCAACAATTTCCCCTCATACTAGGAATAAACAATATAGTCCCTGAGTGTAAACTACTGTGAAGTGTGAAGTACTTTTCACTTCAAACATCCAATTACGTGAAAGAAAAGCCCTATTTTTTTTGTTTGCATGTAATTTGATGTTTGAAATGGACACAGGTTCACATTACTTCACTTTAGCTTTCTACACACTTTAGTAAATCAGATCTCTTGCATCTGAAGGAACAAAGAACACAAATACATTTCAGCACCCGGAACAGTGGAAAGAGCACTATTTTTTTCTTTTAAATCTCATCATAACAACAAGAAATAGATTCCAGAAGTGTGTATTTGTTATAGTACCTTTTTTAATGTGACTGTGATGTTGGGGGATGTAACCCGACAAGGGATAACTAACTTCTCTCCATCATTTATGGTAATTACTTGTGGTTGGTCAGTTTGCAGGTCTACAAATGCACTGTTTCCCTCTGTAATAAAAAAAAGATAAAATATGCAAACAAAAAAAACACAACAATCAGTAAAAAAATTGATTAGAGACACTTTAATTTCCGTAGGAAGCCAACAAAAACTGCATTCCAACAACAAGAGGCGGGAAATGAGGAACTAGCCTTGAGGTGGGATGACTTTACTTGCTGTTGAAATGGTACAGTAACATGCTAAAGTCAACCAGTTCATTCCTCTCAGATTGTCCTAAGAGAATGAAAGAATGTAACTACTCTCTGATTGGAGAATAGAGAAGCGTGAGACACACACACCCACACAAAATCAGAGGTGATTGGTGGATGATATCAGCATATCTTATTCCTAGAACAAAGAAGGGAAATTGTCCTGTAATAAGAAAGAGGAAACTCCAACATAAGCTATTCTATTTTAGTGACGAGTCTTTGATATTTTTTTTTAAATGATTACAAAACCACTTTCTATTGCTTTAAGAACATTTTCCAATGAGAGCATTGATATAGCTATATACAGCGTATCCTTACAGGAAGAATGTCATGAGTGAAATATATAGGCTGGCATTGCTGACCTGCTTCTGAAAAGGCTATTTGAGTGGTCATTATGCTGACCCATTGGCATCAGTACTTTGAGTCACTGATCTAGAACAAGTATCCATATAAAGATAATGCCTTAGCTGCATACCTCTATTTTTTCCAGAATGCCTGCTTTCTCTATGTCGGTATGCTGGAGCAGTGAAGAAACATGTCCGATACCTAATTTTTTGTTATGATGGGGGCTGGTGGGGCAAATTATTTTTTTCTTTTTATAAAAAAAAAGATCTTATGCTTTAAATTATTTATACACTTCAGAGACGGCCTCACGTCTGTGCCAGTGGATAGATGAGGAGCACATCCAGTTAAAGCTTGTTTCCCCTTTTCTTCCTAGATAAGGGGAATAACTGGTTATAAGTCACAAAGAGTTTTACTAACATGTTGGATAACCCTTTATGTTTACAACAGTTGCTTCCAATTTTCCAACCCTATAACTGGACATATAGATGGTTTTCATTGACCTGTGTATAATCCACATCCGACTTCCAAATAATGCAGTCCCAGAAAAGTGAAATGATAGGTGTTTGGGTATTACTACATCAGTAATACCCAAACACATCAAACAACAAGCTATATCAGTGATTGAAGAGTAACGCGCCACTTCTTTGTGTCACAGATCTCACAGATTCACAGCTTATGGCTACATTTCCTGGCATGTATTACCAACTCTGAATGTGTTCTTTAAAGGAAAATCCAGCTCAGAAATAAAAGGAAATATGTATTATGAAACTTGACCATGGCAACCTTTCATAACACTCTAATTCCTCCTATTTTAGGGAAGTTGAAGGACTTGTATAATGTAACAGGGAAACAGGGTTGTTGTTTTCCAGTGCTGGTGGATGTGTGAAAAGGTCATTAGTTCTCTACTTTTAATCATCCTTAGAACTGATTACTGCCACTCCCCAAGGGACATATTCATTCATGTCAGGGGATTAACATAACAATTCCAAACTTTGCTAGTGCTGTACAGCAATTTCCTGTATTCTATCACAGATAACACTACAAGGTGCTCAACAAGCTGCCCTGCAGACATCATGTCACCATTCGCTGCAGCCAGCCCTGGCATAGACCACAAACACGTAACACATTCTATGCTTTTTTTTTCTTTTTTTAAAGCCCAATTGAACATTTAGTTTAATTCAGCTAAATACAGTCTAGATACATTGAAACAAAAGGTGTGCAAAGTTTTATAGTTTGCCTTCATTAGAAAGCAGCCACAACCTGAGCTAATGTAAATATCTATGTCTGCCTTTATACCAGCCGCAGACTTGTGGGGGGGGGAGGCATTAGAATCCAGGTGTGCTACATGCACATATTGCCAGGAGAAGAAAGAAGAGGAATGACTCATTGGTATTCTGCTGCTCCATCACTGGCCAATCGGAGGACAGGGATGGAGACATTACCCAACTGTATTGCTTAATGGCAGAAGAGAAAAGTTGGGTTTGATAAGGTCGTGTGATTCTCAGAACTGGGTGAACATCACTATATAAAACCTTTATCAGGTAAAACAGCTCTGATATTTGTATTATATGTGCCAATTTAGCTCCTTGTCGCCATTCCAATTTTAAAGTAAATTTTGATATGGTTTTCACATTTTTGCAAGCTTTACCTTCCTTATTTTAGATATTGGATTTAAATAAACAGCCATTAAGATAGGATATGCACAGGGAATGCATTATTTTCAATGAGTTGGCCAACTTTGTGGCATTGTTAGAAGAAATAGTAAAGTACAACCACTGTACACTTCTGCTTCAAAGTAGGAGGCAAAACCTGAGTATGTAATTAGCAAATATGGCTTCTATCTACATATATAATGCAAATTATATATAGAAACAAGATATTAAAGCAGTTCACAATTATAAGATTATTTGCATCAAGTTGATCGCTTAACGTGTTTATGATTAAAACAAACACTCAACAATCTATATATTACCATTAATGGGTCAGGAAATTGCCTGAACAATATTACTATTCCCTCTGCCCCTAATCTATAATTGTATGAGCTTTTCACCAGCTTTCCAACAAGTGCACTAAGATTAGCTATTGGTTAACATTAGCAACATTAAACAAAATCTTCAGTCAAGGCAAAAGCAATGCGTAAATAAAAATAAGCAAAAAAAGGTATATAATATTGTCATAAAGACGATCAAAGTAATTCTGAGGTCACCAGGGTCATGATAAAACATATATCACACTAAGTTATATTTCTTACAACAGTTCATGTAATTAACAAGTTTATAATTTCCTTTCCACACAAACACCGCCAAAAGACCTTGGGCAACATCACTAATGCAGGAACCATTGGCGCCGTCCAGCACAAAGTGAAGGAGAATCTGCATCCTTCCACTAAAACAGCCAAATTGTCAAAAGCCAATGTGTTTTTCCCGGAAAGTATTTTTATCCACTTGTACCTCAAGCCCATCACATTTTGGACATGGAATTACAAGGCATAAGCCATTGGGATATCATTTGACACACTTATCCTCCCCAGCTCGCAGCTTCCTGATCCAAAGACACTATCAGTGGGGATGTCTGGCCATCAGGAAGTTTGGAGTTTCAGAGGATGAAACAGGGGGGACAAAAGTTCAGCCAAGGACTGTAATTGAGCCACCAGTAGGCAAACAAGGAAACAATAGCTGGGGATTGAAGGGAACGCGCCTTGGAGCCCACTGTGAGTATTTTTTTTACACGCAAAGGTCTTGAGCTACTAAAGTATGAAGTGAGGCAAAAAGGGAGATGAACCGGTGCTCACTACAATCATCCAGTCATGCAAAGGAAAACGTAAAGGTACATTAATAACGCTGACCTCCAGGCAAATAGATAAGGCACAAATGAATGCAGCTCTGTAATCAATTACACATCATTGAATGCATTTGTTGTAAATTGAAACAGCTCGGCGACCAAAACTAGACCGCGTACTCCAGATGTGGCCGAACCAACGATCTATATAGAGGCCCAATAATAGACTTGTCCCTGCAATACATCCCCTTCTTAATACAGGACAAGACCCTGCCAGCTTTGTTTACCGCAGCTTGGCACTGCAAGCTACCATTCAGTTTGTGGTCTACAATGACCCCCAAATCTTTTTCTATTTCTGACTTCCCTAGCGGCATACCCATAATTGTATAGGCTATTTGTTTATTTTTATGTCCAAAGTACATTACTTTGCATTTATCGACATTAAACCTCATCTGCCATAGTATTGCCCACTCCCCTATTTTATCCAGGTCCTCCTGCAATGTTATATTGTCACGATCCGTTTCTAGTACCCTCCCTATTTTTGTATCGTCTGCAAACACGGAAACATGGCTATTTATTCCCTCCCCGATGTCATTAATGAATAGGTTGAACTTCATTAATGAAGTACCTGAATTTGACCTAGAATCAGCCTCTTGAAGTCTACTGTACAATCTGTACACCAGGGCTCAGAGAGGGGGAAGGAGAAGCAACACCAGGAGCCAGTCAGGGGTGCTGTAGTATAAATAGCATGCTGATAGGAGGAGATAGCAGAGTAACAGAGAGGTGAGATCAATGCACTGCTTCTACTTTTATTACCCATTCACATGGCAGTGAGGAGGAGACCTGTAAACCCCCTGTTCACAGCAAGCAATTTTTTTTTAAATATTGCATACCATAATGCATGATAATAAGTTAGCAAGTGATGTGGTGCAATGCAATGGACATGCGATGGCTAGGTGCATTGGTGTGTTATTAAGAATACCTAACACTGCAACATGCAAAATCATGTGCAGTATCGCACACAGTCCCACATCACACAGGTATGAATGAGGGCTAAGCGGACATGAAACTGCAGCAGAAAAAGATTGTGTCCCATCCCCTGCCACACAGGGTTATGCTGCGGGGCAGAGCTGTGTATACTGTATCTGAGGATTGGATGGGCAGAAAGACAAATCCTTTGGCAGGTAAAACAATTCCCATATATGGATTTCATCTGTATATTTCTCTGTTAGCCTGTCCATAAACCTAACATGGGTCCATTGAGCTCCATTTTTTCCTCTATCACAAGATGGAAGAAAAAACTGACCAGACATGAATGTCAAAAGGTGACATTCATTCTTTTCGGCTTAGATTTAGCAGGGGGTCTGTTCATGGGTCCCCTGCTGATCGGAATGGATGCTGTTCGTGTGAAAGGGACCTAAGTGTTGACTTGAAATTACTCACTGTTATTGCTAATACCTGGTACTGACATTGACACTATACAACGTTTCAGCTTTACCTGTAACATATATGTAGACAGCAGACGGTTCCTTGGTGAGGTGCTTGTAATGGCATCGGTAGAATCCAGTGTCATGGATCTGTGCTTTGTGCAGCGTTAAATTCGTTTGGCACGAGTCCTTAGAGCCTCCATGGCATACGTTCTCCATAATATGGAACCTGTTAATTTCTTTCCTTGAGGCAGCTGGGAATTTCCAGGAAAGTGTTTGATCACCACTGGGAAAAACAGACAAAGATGATAATGTCACTGGGATCTCTCTGAACTGTACATATTTCCCAATAATAATGACATCCAATAGTCAACTAGAAGCAGCTCAGCAGAAGAGGGAAACACAAATCTATTCAGGTGCAGTAATGTAAATCAGAAATCATCTTTCAATAAGTGGATATGTGTGATACCTATTGGTAACCTAAGGGGTACTTTGTATATAGTTATTTCTCTTTGGACAGAATTATAGAATAAGCTGTGACTATCATCTACCTACAGAGGGCAGGACGGATATGCAACCTACTAAAACTGATTGCTTGATTTAGGCCCCTCTAAAGTACATTAAAGGAGTGTGTCTGTGTTACCCTTGGTTACCATTTTAGTTTTGTCTTCATCCACTTTAGTGCTACTGCTTTTTTTTTTTTACACTTTTTATCATTCAGATATGGCCCTATTGATTCACCAATGTTTTTTGATCCAGAAGTGTCACATGTCGGGTTCCCTGTTGCATGCTGTGGTTCCATCTGCTAGTAACGTAGCAGCCGTTGGAAGGAGCCACAGCGCACAATCCTTTCACCAGCTTAGCTCCTCAAGAGAGCAGAAATCAAAGGGGCGGGAGGTGAAACCGTTAAGTATTACCTCTTTTCTGTACAGGTACCTTTTTTCACTTTTTAATAGGGTACAGAGTCACTTTAAATAGCAGATTTTTCATTAAGGGAATAGTACGACTTATTTAATGCAGGTCTTTAATGCAGGTTCACTTAACAAGTCTGTAATTTTAAGTAATTTGCTGCAAAATTTTATCTGTTACCCTTTGATAACAGATCTTGCTAACTATACAGATTTTGTTAACTGCGCCCATATAGGAATTTTGTACCCATGGGTATAAAATAACCACATCCCTATTGTTGCTTTCATCAGGCAGGAACAGATAGACCATGTCTATGGACAGCTTTCAAGTACCTCTATTCACATTCAAGAAAACACATAAATGGAACCATTGAAGCATTGTACAAGATTTCTTACCTGCATGAAAGGTGGATTGGCTGTCCTGCTTGTACAATCAACTCTTTTGCTTTTACATTCAACACAGTTGCAATCTTGGAACCAGCGCTGTGTCCTACAGGATCAGAAAATAAGTAATATGACTATACTGAAGACTTGAGTGACTCAAGAATGTATGAAAGGGTCAGCAGACCAGACAGGTGACTGGAATTTTCAGAACGTGTTAAGCAATCACATCCTCCATATTTCCCTCATTTACTTTAAAGTGTAACTTCACCTCTGCTGCGGTCACACATATTTTAGTCCATCTCGTTCCCAGTCTTATATTCTTTGGGCCCAATCCAGTGACGTATTGTTGAGTAGATAGCAGAGCCACTAAATCCAAAGCCAATAAATAAGAGTGCAAAGACCATACGTGGGCATGGTCATGAAGATTTTTAAGTGAATCTGAAACCTAGTGAGTAATGATGTGCAGGAGCTTGGTTTAAACCTAGTTTGCACAAGCCTATGCAAAACTGTGACTGATACACCCCCCTCCTGGCCAGCCACAATTTTACATGGGCTTGGGCAAAGTCTGGTGTACTGGGTTCACACCAAGCCCCTACACATCATTACTAGTGAGTGATATCTCCCTGGATTGGGGACAAGTGGTTATAAGGCTGGAGGGTTGGGGGCTACTATATTTCCAAAGAGCAGTTACATTTTCATCAATTTACAAACTAAGATTATAGTGTTAAAACATAATTTTCATGCTGGAGATCAGCAGTCCTGAGATGCAAAAAAGGAGGAAAACAGTATTAAATAAAAAAACATAGGGGTCTATTCACGAAGCTGCCGAAGGATCTGAGCCTAGGGTTAAGGGAGGACGCTAGTTTGTGTCCTCCCATTACCCTAAGGAGAACTATGGGGAAAAGACTTAACCCCATAGTTCTCCTTTAAGGAAAAATTACCGAATTAAAAAAAAAAAAAAAACTGTTTTCCCTATATTAAATGATAAAACATTTATTATTACCCGGGGTCGGGGTCACTTCGGGTAAAAAGACACCAAACATGTCAAGCCTTAAAATTGCGTGCGCGCGCGAAACCTCAAAAAACTATAATACCCAAAATTGGGTTTTAAAAGCTTTTACCGCTCATCAGTTTAGTGTTATCAGTGATTGATGGCCCTAAAATTATTGTTCTCACGAACGCGATATGTAACGTGTGTAGCGCAATTGTTGTTTTCGCGCGCTGGTGCACCGGACGTGTATTTACGTTTATATGTGTGTAAAAGTAGGGGTGGGGAACTTAAGAATTTTTGGGGTTTTTAAAAAACTTTTTTTATATGTGACTTATGTTTTTAAAACTTTTTGACAGGTCCTCTTTATGGAGACCTTAGGGATCTCCAGGACCCCTAATGTCACCTGGGGACCCCAAAGGAAGCTGATGAAGCAGAGGTCTGCTTCATCAGCACGGAGGGAGGTCAGCAAGGAGGAAGATGCTGATCTCCCTCCCATCTTCCTCCTGACGCCCTCCCGAGCCCCATCCCGCCAATGCGACTGTGCCGTCCGTCCGTTTTTTTGCAACGGGCGGACGGCAACTGGTTGAGGTCAAAGTTTTTTTTCTCCCTTCCCAATCCTGCTGTAAGGACTTCCCTTAAATGATGTCTCTTAATCCGATCATCTTCTTCTTTACTGTCCTTTTCAGCTGTCCCTCCAGCGCTGGTGCGGGTCTCCCATCCAGCGCTGACTCCTCTGTCCTCCTCTTCTCTCATGTCCCACGGTGTCTGTGCGGATGCACGCTGCTCCATAGACTTACCTTGCGTCTCTCCTCGTCTCCGGCCAAACATCTGAAGTGCGCATGCGCCCGCCCCGAGACCCTTTGCGGCCACCCGAGACTCTTCAGATGTTCGGACGGGAGCTCCATCAGGTCCATCAGCAGAGGGCGGGTACAATGCTAGTTTACTAGTGGCTATTGCAAATTGAAATAGCCAATAGGAATGTAGCAATGCATTGTCAGAATAAAGAAAAAAAAAGAAAAAGCAGTGTATCTCTCCTGGGCGGCAGAGCCGCCGGACAATAGGAAACTATTGGGCGGAGCTAGCTGTCACTGCTAGCTCTGCACAATCGTTTTCTATTTACTTTTTTTTTACTTTTTTTACTATTTTTCTGTTCTGCTCGGTCCCTCTGAGGGACCGAGCAGTACAGCCGAGCGGAATTCGGCTATTCACTCACTGCTGTTCGGCATCTATAAGAATAGGTAGCCTGCCGGAGGTTCGGCTCAGCCGATCCAGATGCTGGATCGGCTCAGTCGAACTCCTTCTGCACTTCGGAACATGCAGAGCATGTTCTGCACTTCAGCTCAGTCGAACTCCTTCTGCACTTCGGAACATGCTGAGCATGTTCGGCCGACCCGAAGCCATGTGAAGCAAGCCCATGTACGGCTGATTTCAGCCGATGTACGGCTGAAATCAGCCGCACCAGCCTGAAGTGAATAGCCGAACAGTGTTCAGCTCACTTCACTTGGGGTCGGTTGTTCACTCGGCTGTAAAGGTAAAGCTTGGTAAAGGCAGAGCTTTGCTTCCTCATGTCGGAGCCTCCAGCAAGAGGAATAGTGAGAGGCACAGAAATGACATCACCAAATCTCCCAAGACCAGCAGACAGAGAGAACAGTGCTTGACATCTCACACTGTACCTATACAGCAATTAGGCTACACAAGAGGAGTGCTTAGGCACTCTTACATACCAGGATAAACACTTCTATTTTTCAGACAAAAAGGTTTATTTTCAGGGTACGACTTCAACACAATTCATATTTCTAAATTTTCCAGATATCATAGCAAATCTTCATAATTCAAGTTAAGTTTCACTTTAAAGTAGAACTGCAACACCTTATTATAAGTGAATCTGAACTTATAGTTCCCTCTTAGTCCCCGTGCAAAGTCTCACAAATACCCGTTGATCCTGCCAGTAATGTCCACCTAATTCAGCTTCCTGTGATGGTGTGGCAACAATGCTGCACTGCTCCTGAATACAGAGCAGCATTCCCATTCTCATGCAGGCTGTACCTGCTTGCACTAAAGTGTGATAAAAAGATGTTGCAGGGGACGTGGCTTTCAGCATTGTCACTGCTGATTCATAAGCCAATAACTTGTCAGTCAGTACCTGGCTACACCTAGCCCTACCCAGTGCTTTCTGGATTGGCTGAAACCATGCCAATGTGAGCTGCAGTGTCTGGGAGGGGGAGCGTGTGAGGCACAAATGAATAAGTATTTGACTCAGTCAGGGAAGGTAAAGAGAGTTCTTTGCTTATTTTAAATGGCTTGTGCTTAACATAGTAACTGTAGTTGATACTTGTTTCCACTGTCCTAGCTTTTACCTTTTCTTTAAGCCAGTACAACGCATTTGAGAAAAAAAGCACAGCATAGACAGTATTCGACACTTGACTATAAAAGCAAAACATAAATCCTAAAGCATTTAAAGAGCATTTAAAACCTGATTAAGAGTTCAAATTTCTGTCTTTTATTTATCTCTAAGACCCCATTGGGAAGATTTTTCCTCAATTCCAGTCCCTATGAAGCCCAATGGGAGGAATTAGTGTCACCAGGACAGGAAGCCACAGACTGCAAAAAAGCATTTATGGAAGTTCTAACCCTTTTTCTAAGTCTTCACCACAGTGAAATATGTTTTATCCTTTTGACCCCCCTCTGGAGAGATTTTCAATTACCTACAGAACTTATAGGAAGTGAAAGAAACCCATCCCAGTAGAGAAATAGATAATGGTCCAACAAGACCTGTAACCCACCCTACGCTATCCAAAACTGAGCAAATTGTGTTGTTTGGAGTTGGGCTTTAGCTTGGTCACATTTCTAGATTCAGGATCCTTTATTGCTCAGGATTGCAGGATTGCAGTACCACACACACAGGGAGAGCAGTAAACCAGCCTTCTACCCTGACTCACTATTACTCACAGTGATCCCACTATGAATAACAGGCCCTCCAACTGACCCTGCCTGACTCCTGCTGCTTGCCTGTGTGTGTGAAACAGTGTGATAACAGCCATGTGTCTGTTTACAGGACAACGAATAAGAAGAATTACAGAAGCTAATAGTGACTAGTGAGCCCTGGCAAATATCAGATGCCTAGCCTGTAACTTGGATGAATGATGACAAGGATGATGGGGATCAGCCCTGATACCTCCGTGACCTACTATGAGTGATGATGACACTGTATAGCACTGAGCAGAAGTATTCAACTACTGTGCTCCTGCTAATCTGAATTATTATAATAACAGCAATGCATTGTTTCAGAGCGTAGCATGACATTTAACAAAGACATTTTCAATGTTATATAGCGGCACTGTACATTTATTACATACCGTAAGCCTAATTTGTAACAGTCTGCAATTTAGAAAACAAAAACTTGATTAGAAACTGTCACCAACAAAAAAGCTTTCTGTCATGTAGCTCTTATTCCATGTTTAACGCACCATGTTTCTGCCAATTCAGTCACTGAATTCATATTACAATGTTATAAAGCTTTCTTTTCTCTATGCTAAATATGTATCTATAACAGGCGTGGACAATTCATTTCCTCAAAGGGGCCACATGAAAAACTGAGACTGCTGCGGAGGGCTGAACTGATTAACGCTCGGAACCGTGCAACGCACCTACCGTGTGTTACAGTGTGGCAGGTGCATTGCAGTACTGCAATAACGTGTGGTGCATAGAAAAAAAGTAGTGCATGCAACACAACATACCTGCTGCACTATAACGAACAGTAGGTGCCTTGTTCTGTGCCGTGCGTTAATTGCATTTAACTGTGCAATTAACACATGGCATAGGTGTGAACAGGCCCTGAATTAGGCCTTTTTGTCCCCACATAGTATGTGGCGCATGCCTGCTTATTTTTTCTCTAGACGTGGCTGTGGTGAGTAAATCTCTGTTATTTGAGCTCCCTAGACAAAACAGGCACTTAATCCATTGCAGTGTGGGCGGTAGCCCAACTGCAAGGGTTAAGATTCCATTTGCCCGGAGTTCTGCTTTAAAGCAATGGATAACAGGACACTGACGGACCCTAAACTTACAGCCCCCGCAGGAGAGGAAATGTTTTACCGGCAGGTCAGTATTTGTACAGC